AGTGGTATCTAAATTCTCTACTTGAAAGATGCAACTGTCTTTCAGGCTGCAAAGGTCGACAGCAAGCTAGACAAATGGCCAGGAGCTTACTCCACCCACATATGTGGTACCTAAATTTCCTACTTGAAAGATGCAACCGTCTTTCGGGCTGCAAAGGTCGACAGCAAGCTAGACAAATGGTCGGGAGCTTTCTCCGACCTGTGCTGGCTTCAAATTCATGACCTTGTCAGAGTATTGAAGCTTTGCCAGCGGAAGGATTGCTAGATCAGCAGACACTGTGTTCAAAAAGGACTCTGCAGACTTTCAGTTACAACAGAAAACTATGTTTTACTAAATACATCTATACACATCTATTCACAGCAAGCAACAGACAGGAACTACTAGGCAAAAACAACAGTCTCTGAACATCTGCTTATCTGACTTCTGGCTGAGACCAGATCCTCCCTCTTCTTCCCAGCCAGAGAACACGTTATCTCATTTCTGGCAAGGTTACAGTTTCACAGACTCAGCACTGTGTTTTCTTATACACAATAGAGTAGAATAGAATCCATCTTGAAATAATGTATTGTCGAAGGCTTTCATGGCTGGAATCACCAGGTTCTTGTGGGTTTTTTCGGGCTATAGGGCCATGTTCTAGAGGCATTTCTCTTGACGTTTCGCCTGCACAAGCATCCTCAGAGGTAGTGAGGTCTGTTGGAACTAGGAAAATGAGTTTTATATATCTGTGGAATGGCTGGGGTGGGGCAAGGAGCTCTTCCCTGCTGAAGCTAGGTGTGAATGTTTCAGCTGACCACCTTCATTAGCATTTGAAGGCCTGGCTGAGCCTGGGAAAATCTTTTGTTGAGAGGTGTTAAGATGTCCCTGATTGTTTCCTCTCTGCTGTTTTGCTGTTGTAATTTTAGAGTTTTTTAAATACTGGTAGCCAGATTGTGTTCATTTTCATGATTACATCCTTTCTGTTGAAATTGTCCACATGCTTGTGGATTTCAATGGCTTCTCTGTGTAGTCTGACATGGTGGTTGTTGGAGTAGTCCAGCATTTCTGTGTTCTCAAATAATCTGCTGTGTCCAGGCTGGTTCCTCAGGTGCTCTGCTATGGCTGACTTCTCTGGTTGGAGTAGTCTGCAGTGCCTTTCATGTTCCTTGATGCGTGTCTGGGCAATGCTGCGTTTGGTGGTCCCTATGTAGACTTGTTCACAGCTGCATGGTACACGGGAGACTCCTGCAGACGTGCCTCTAGAACATGGCCCTATAGCCCAAAAAAACCCACAAGAACCATCTTGAAATACATCTTAATCCATCTTAAATTACATAGAAACACTTTGAAAAACACACATGCATAACCAAATAATCCTGACAGACCTTTTGGTCAGTAGTGATTTTTAATGCAGCTGATTCCCAACCAGCTGCACCACAACCTGATCCATGTAAAAAAGATCTTGGGATCTCTGGGGTCAACTAGCTAGACATGAGCCAAGAGTGGGGTGCAGCAGCTCAAAAAGCGAATGGGATTTTGGTCTGCATCCAAAGTGTCCAGATCGAGGGAAGAAGTCCTGGTGCCCCTCTATTAGACCTCTTTACCTGGAATCACATTGTGTCCCATTCTGGGCCCCAAAATTAAAAAGAAAGATTGACTCTAAGCTGGAAGGGGTCCATTTGAGGACAATTAAAAGAATCAAAGCCTGGAGACCGTGAATGAGTCCCTCTGAGGAGCAGCTTAAACAGCTGGGTCTGTGCTTAGCCTGCCGAAGAGAAGGCGGAGGAGTGTCAATATGAGAGGCATGTTTAAATATTTGAGAAGATGCCATAAGGAAGAGGGAGCGGCAGGGGCGGCTCGTCCATTACGCGAAGTAAGCGGTCGCAGAACACTTTTTTTGCCAGGGGCGCAGAGGCGCGTCTGTAAATGCCCCTCGACCGCCACTTGAGGAGCGCCCCCTCAGCTCACAACAGCCCTAGCAGTCCGGGGGGAGCCTCGGCTTTCTTGCCTCGCTGCCAGGCGATCCTCTTCCCAAAGGGGCTGGGCCCTTGAGCCTCGCCTAGCCAGTACCTGCTGCATACGTTGCTTAAGTCTCATTGACCGACCGTCTGCGCAGGGTTCCATACTTCGCCTTTCAACAACACAGCAGTTCAATGCTCAGGCTTCTCACCAAAATGGAACTGTAGGGGAGAGTCTACTGAACAAGCCAGTACCTGCCGCATACAGAGGCGGCCCTAGGTAATTTTCAACAGTAAGCTCCACCCAGCCACCGGGTGCGCAAGCAGAGCCAGCGCTCAATTGTTCTCCGCGTTCGATCCCTTCCCCATGACCGGCTCCCTTTCCCGATCCACCGGTGCTCCACCCACCTCCTCTCCTCTCCCCAATCCGGGTGGGCCAAGAGGCGGAGCCGCCACGCCTGGCCCACTTCGGGTCCGGAGGCGTGTCTGAAGACCCCAGCATGCGCACCAAAAGTCGCCTCTTCTCCTGACTTTCTCTTCAGCCATTGGGACCGAGAGAGAGAGAGAGAGAGAGCCCCTCCGGCTGGAGGTATCTCCCACCTCCGCTCCCTCCTTTGTTTTTGCGCCTACCTTCAGGAAAGGTGGGCATCTCCACCCTCTCTCTCTCTCTCTTGGTCCCAATGGCTGAGGAGAAAGTCAGGAGAAGAGGTGACTTTTGGTGCACGCCTCCGGACCCAAAGCGGGCCAGGCAAGGGAGCAAGTGCGGCAAGTGTAGTTACTGGGATGTATAGTTCACCTACAATCAAAGAGCATTCTGAACTCCACCAATGATGGAATTGAACCAAATATGGCACACAGAACTCCCACGACAAACAGAATATATATCAATAATTGGTTGGGGGGGGGCGCCAAAATACTGTTTGCTTACTGTTGAAAATTACCTAGGGCCGCCTCTGGGGAGCGGGCTTCCTTTCCGCTGCCCTGGAGACTGGGACGCAATGCAGCCGTGGGTTCAAAGTACAGGGAAGGAGATCCCACTCGAAGATTAGGAAGAACTTCCTGACTGTAAAAAGTGCTCTTTGACTGTGGAACGCTCTGCCTGGGAGAGTGGAGGAAGCGCCTTCTGGGGAGGCTTGGAAACAGAGGCTAGGTGGTCATCTGTCAGGAGTGCTTTAACTGTGCATTTCCTGCATGACAAGAGGCTGGACTGGATAGCCCATGTGGTCTCTTCCAGCTGTCAGGAGTGCTTTAACTGTGCATTTCCTGCATGACAGAAGGAGGTTGGACTGGATAGCCCATGTGGTCTCTTCCAACTCAGTTATCCTATTATTCTACTTCCCAAATCTATAGAAATAAAAATGTAATGTTCGTTTGTGGGATTAACAGAACTCCAAAACCACTGGGCGAATTGGCACCAAATTTGGACACAAGACACCTAGCAACCCAATGTATGTCCTTCACTCAAAATGTTTTGATTTTGTCATTTGGGAGTTGTAGTTTATTTATTTATTTATTTATTTACCTTACTTATATACTGCTGTTCTCAGCCCGAAGGCGACTCACAGCGGTTCACAACAAATACGAACAGCAAAAATTCAGTGCTACAGTATAGTTGCTGGGATTTATAGTTCACCTACAATCACAGAGCATTCCGAATCCCACCAACGTTGGAACTGAACTAAACTTGGCACACAGTTCTCCCATGACCAACAGAAAATACTGGAAGGGTTTGCTGATCATTGACCTTGAGTTATGGAGTTGTAGTTCACCCATATCCACAGAGCACTGTGGACTCAATGATGGATCTGGACCAAACTTGGCACAAATGCCCAAATGCGAACACTGGTGGAGTTTGGATAAAATAGACCTTGATATTTGGGAATTGTAGTTGCTGGGATTTATATTTCACCTACAACCACAGAGCATTCTGAACCCTACCAACGATGGAATTCAACCAAACTTGGCACACAGTTCTCCCATGACCAACACAAAATTCTGGAAGGGTTGGATGAGCAGTGTCCTTTGGTTTTGGAGTTGTAGTTCACCTACGTCCAGCAATCACTGTGGATTCAAACAATGATGGATCTGGACCAAACTCTACACAAATACTCAATATGCCCAAATGTGAACACTGGTGGAGTTTGGGGAAAATAGAATCTTAACATTTTGGGAGTTGTAGTTGCTGGGATTTATAGTTCACCTACAGTCAAAGAGCACTCTGAACCCCACCAATGATAGAATTGGGCCAAACCTCCCACACAGAACCCCCGTGTGGGCCACAGCAACTTCCAGATGCTGCAACCATGGACCTTCTCTCTGCCGCCTCCTTCTGGCACCCCTGGGAATGACATCCTCATGTAAATCCTAAAATCGGTCACTAGGGGGCAAACTGCGCATATTTTTCATTACTGCCAGGTTAAGCTTGGGAACCCCAACCCCCCACCACAAAAAAGGGCATCCCCTAAACACAACCTTTCCTTCCCACTTCCAGATGCTACAACCATGGACCTTCTCTCTGCCGCCTCCTTCTGGCACCCCTGGGAATGACGGCCTCATGTAAATCCTAAAATCAGTCACTAGGGGGCAAACTGCACATATTTTCCATTACTGCCAGGTTAAGCTTGGGAACCCCACCCCTCAGAAAGGGCCATCCCCTAAACACGGCCTTTCCTTCCCACTTCCACATGCTACAACCATGGACCTTCTCTCTGCCGCCTCCTTCTGGCACCCCTGGGAATGACAGCCACATGTAAATCCTAAAATCAGTCACTAGGGGGCAAACGGCACATATTTTTCATTACCACCAGGTTAAGCTTGGGAAGCCCCCCAAAAAGGGGCGTCCCCTCATGACACAGCCTTTCCTTCCCATTTCCACATGCTACAACCATGGACTTTCTCTCTGCCGCCTCCTTCTGGCACCCCTGGGAATGACATCCTCATGTAAATCCTAAAATCAGTCACTAGGGGGCAGACTGCGCATATTTTTCATTACCACCAGGTTAAGCTTGGGAAGCCCCCCTAAAAGGGGTGTCCCCTGATGACACAGCCTTTCCTTCCCACTTCCAGGTGCTGCAACCGTGGACGTTCTCTCTGCCGCCTCCTTCTGGCACCCCTGGCAATGACAGCGGCAGCAGCAACAGCAGCTTGAGCTGCGCGGAGAGCGCCGACTTCCAGTTCGTGCTCTTCCCGGTGGTCTACAGCCTGGTGTTTGTGCTGGGCCTGGTGGGGAACCTCTTCGTCCTGAGCTACTTCCTGCGCACCAAGTCGGCCACGGCACCGGCCAACGTCTTCCTGGTGAACCTGGCCGTGCTGGACCTGCTCTTCGTGCTGACGCTGCCCTTCCGCGTGGCCTACCACGCGCTGTACAACGACTGGGTCTTCGGGGAGGCGCTCTGCAAGGTCATCGGTGGGCTCTTCTTCGCCAACCTCTACGGCAGCTCCCTCTTCCTGGCCCTCATCTGCCTGGAGCGCTACCTGGCCGTGGTGCACCCGCTGCTCCACCTCCGCCTGCGCAGCTCCCGCCTCCGCCTCGTGGCCGTCCTGGTCGTCTGGGCAATCTTGGTCGCCGCCGTGCTCTTCTTGGCACTGCGGGGCCCGCTGACCAGCGCCTTCCCCAACGGCCACATCGCCTGCCTGGAGAACTTCTCCTCCAGCTCCTGGAAGGGCCGCATCTCCGGCGTCAGCCTCTTTGCAGCCGTGGTGGGCTTCCTGCTGCCCCTCGTCCTCATTATCATCTGCTACCCGCTCATCGCTTGCCGACTTCTGGCTCCCCCGACTGTGGGAACAGGAGCCGGCTCCCGGACCGCAAGGCGCAAGGCTCTGCGCACGGTGCTGGTGGTGCTGGGGGTCTTCCTGGTCTGCTTTGCCCCCTACCACCTGGTGCAACTGGTCCACACGTTGAGTCGCGTGGGTCTCGTGGGCGGCTGCCCGCTCCTGCGTGGTACCTACGCCGCCCGGCGGGTCACCATGGCCCTCACCAGCCTCAATGCTTGCCTCGACCCCCTGGTCTACTACTTCGCGGCCGAGCGCTTTTCCCGGCGGTCCAGCTGGTGGCCCTTTGGCTCCGGGTGTGGGTGCTGCTCCTCCGAGAGGCTCCCCCGGCCACTCTGGCTGCAGGCCTTGACCACCAGCAAGACCACCACCTCGTCCACTGGGGAAAGCACCGCCCCAGGCCCAGGGCAGTAATGGGAAAGGGTGTACATCCACCTCTCCCCAGGGCAGTGATGGAAAAGGGGGTTCGTCCACCTCTACGCTGCCCGGCGGGTCACCATGGCCCTCACCAGCCTCAACACCTGCCTCGACCCCCTGGTCTACTACTTCGCGGCCGAGCGCTTCTCCTGGTGGTCCATCTGGTGGCCCTGTGGCTCCGGGTGTGGCTACTGCCCCTCCGATAGGCTCCCCCGGCTACTCTGGCTGCAAGCCCTGACCACCAGCAAGACCACCACCTCGTCCACTGGGGAAAGCACCACCCCAGGCCCAGGGCAGTGATGGGAAAGGGGGCACGCCCACCTCTCCCCAGGGCAGTGATGGGAAAGGGGGTACGTCCACCTCTCCCCAGGGCAGTGATGGGAAAGGGGGTACGTCCACCTCTCTCCAGGGCAGTGATGGGA